TAATTGTAAAACCCCAGAAGAGGTTCAGGTACCTGAAAAGAAAGAAAGAGATCTCAACAAGTTATGTCACAAAAGAAAAAATAGAACCGAAAAGATAAAGTTGTCGACAATTAAGAATATCACGTGATAAAATGAGGATCTTACACATAGATCTATCATGCAAAGTAGAGATAAATTTGGCCAAGAAGAAAAGTAAAAAGGAAAATACGTGATGGAAATATTGTTTCGATATGTGAAAATAGGCCTGCAGTCTGAACACATAAAATATAAAGTTTCTATAGAATAGATAGATGTTTATGTGAAAATATAGATTTTCACAAATGATTATGATGAGACATATTACTTTGTGGTGGATATCATTTTGCATATTTGAATAGTCTGGCATTATGAAATGTGCCTGCTAGATAACCCCTGGATGAGGATCATTAAATAGTAAAATTTATATGATAATCCTTGAAGGATCAAAAATATGCCAGGAGCATATATAAGAAAGTCTTTCAGTATATGAAATATTATGAAGATTAAAATAATTTCAATATGTATCATCATCTTATAGTTTTGAATCAAAATATATGAAATTCCCTAAAGAATTTCACTTGCCAGGAGCATACAATTAAGTTCTTGAGAACAAAGATTAAGTTAAATAAGTTGCTAGAAGCAATCAGGGCGTATGTGGTATAACCGACTAAGTAAATATCGGTTGAAGAAATGATATAAAAATGATCCAATTTGCCCATGTATTTTTATGAAAAGATCTGGAAATGAGTTTGCGATAATTGCGGTTTATGTTGATGACATAAATATCATTGGAACTCCTGAAGAGCTTGCAAAAGCTATGGGTTGCTTAAAGAAAGAATTTGAAATGAAGAACTTGGGAAGAACAAAATTTTGTCTTGGATTGCAAATTGAATATTCAAGAAATGATATCTTTTTGTATCAAGAAACCTATACAAGAAAGGTCTTAAAGCGTTTTCATATGGATAAATCACATCCATTATGTACTCCGATGGTTGTAAGGTCTTTGGAGAAAGATAAAGATCCTTTTAGACCTCAAGAAAATGATGAAGAACTACTTGGTCCAGAAGTACCATACCTTAGTGCAATTGGTGCACTCATGTATCTTGCTAGTCACACACGACCTGATATATCATTTGCTGTTAACCTACTAGCAAGGTATAGCTCGTCACCAACACGAAGACATTGGAATGGAGTTAAGCACGTTCTTCGTTACCTCAGGGGTACTATGGACATGGGGTTATTCTACTCAAATGTACCCAAAACTAACCTCATTGGTTATGCAGATGCTGGATTCTTATCTGATCCACATGTCGGTAGATCACAAACAGGCTATTTGTTCACATATGGTGGTACAGCCATTTCATGGCGTTCTATGAAACAAACCATATCAGCCACATCATCTAATCATGCAGAAATTCTTGCAATACATGAAGCAAGTAGAGAATGTGTATGGTTAAGATCGATAATACATCACATACGAACCACTTGTGGCTTGTCTTCCAGCAAAATGATCCCGACAATTCTATATGAAGATAATGCTGCATGTATTGCGCAACTAAAGGAAGGGTACATCAAAGGAGATAGAACAAAACATATTTCGCCAAAATTCTTCTTCACTCATGATCTTCAAAAGGATGGTGAAATCGGCGTCCGACAAATCCGTTCCAATGAAAATCTAGCAGATTTGTTCACCAAGTCACTTCCTTGTACAACATTTGAAAAGCTTGTTCATGATATCGGATGTCGTAGACTCAGAGATATCAACTGATATTACCAAGAGGGGGAGTTAACACATGCTGTACTCTTTTTTCCTTGACTATGGTTTTTATCCCATTGGGTTTTTCCTAGTAAGGTTTTTAATGAGGCAGCACTGAATAGCATATCAATAAATGTGTACTCTTTTTCTTCTTCTAGGTTTTTATCCCACAGGGTTTTTCCTAGTTGAAGTTTTTTAACGAGGCACATATTTGTATAATGGACATCCAAGGGGGAGTGTTATGAATATTGTGTGGATGTCCATTTACCCCTTGCTCTTCATCTTCTCCAAGTAACTTCTACTACCTCCACCATCCATTACTCCTCCACTACCCATTACTCCTCCACTACCCATTCACTCTTGTAACTCACCTCCATTCACATTCATAGGATTGATTATCCACTATTTGTCATTTAAGAACAATTGTAACCTATTTGTAAGATTATGCCTATAAATAGGGCATGTCATTTGTGTTGTAATGCAAGTGAAGAGATACAAAAGCAATCTCATTCTCTTGTCTTCATCTTTCTACTTTTGTGGTTTCATTTTTGGTTCTATTTCATAACACATAATAAAATATTGTGTAAAAATATACTCCTCTGGTTTTATTTATAAGACATTTTCAGCATATTTCACATAAACAAAAAAAAACCTCAAACTTCATCAATTCTCATTTAAAATTTAATAATTTTTTAACTTCATCCCTATTTAATATACATTATACCTCATGTAAATAAAGTTAATACAATAATAAATAAAAGGTAAAATTGTATATCTATACAAAAAATTTCTCTCAACAATACCTTATAAATAAAACTAAAAAAAATGTTTTCTTTCTCTGTCCTATAAATAGGATTATAAACATTTTAAATCCGATAAAAATGTCATATCCGTTGAGTTTTCCGAACGTCCGTTAGTTTTCTTTGTGGGTCCCACCAAATGCACATTCTTCTCCCTCCTACCACCCTCCCCGGTCAACTCTGCCTACCCATCAATCATTGAGGAAAATTAGATCCCCTCCATCACTCCAACACGTGCACCAATCAAGCAACCATTCATCATCATTCCTTCCTGTGTCTCTCCACTTTCTCCCTCCCTGCCTTCCTCCCTCCTGCTCGACGATAGTAGCGCCACACAACTCCTTCTCACCGATAAAACCCATCAAACCCAACCTTACTCTCATCTTGCCTCCACAGTCCACAGCCACTTCCCACCCCAAACTAATGGATACCTAACCTCCGTTATCTCTCATGTTATTCATCTTCGTCAGACTGCTACGAAGTGAATGACCAGCAGCAGCGATGGCGTCCTAGATTCTTCCTCCACCTGTTCCCAACGGCGTCTTCTTCATCCAGCTTCAGTGACAATGTTGAGCTTTACTCTTCTCGATGTCGACGACTGCTATGAAGATGAAGATAGAAGAATAAAATGGCAAACGGCGTCGTTAGAGCCGGGAATCAGGGCCGGCCCGGCCCTCTAGGGCTGGCCCTTCAGGGCTGAAATTTTAAAAATACTCCAATTTGCTAAGCCCGGCCCTTAAGCTACAGGGCCAGGGCCGGCCCGCGGGCTTTTGGCCCGTTTAAGAAAAAATACTATTTTTTATATTTATCATATTTTTTTATAAAAATATAAAAATAAACCAATGAAATTATTAATAAAAGACATAAATATGAATAAAATTAAGTCACAAATATAAAATATTATCATATATAAATATTCATCAACATCTAAGAACATCTAAAACATTCATTAACAAGATAACAACATCTAAAAGTTTTATCTATAATGCAATTATGCAATAAATAAACAATCATTAATATTTTGAAACTTCATCATCACTATAATTAATTATTTTTCTTCATAAGTATGCTTTTCTTTCGTAACAAAAATATCAAGTTTTTCTTCTTTATAAGAATTTTATTTTTAAATTTTGCAATCTAACTATTATTTTACTTTAATGTGAGAAACATTGTTGTTGAAACTCATGAATTTCTAATTCAAATTATAGAATCACAAGTTATATAAGTATAAAAATATTCTATTATCAAATATATATATATAGTTTAAAAATATCAACACATATAATATAAATCAAATCATTATTAAAGTCCAAATTAACCCATTTTTAAAAAATTTAATTGGATAAATTATTGTCTAAAACTAAATTTAATTTTAAAATGATAATAATAACTAAATATTTGAAATATTATTAACAATGTAAAAAATTAATAACATTAATATTATATAAAAAAATTTTAAAAATAAAAAATTATAAAAGGGCTTAAAAGGGCCGGCCCGCGGCCCTCCAGGGCCGGCCCTTTTAAGCCCTCGGCCCTCCAGGGCAGCCCTCCAGGGCTTATTTTCATTTTAAAAGAAAAATATCAAGCCCGGCCCTCATAATTTCATGGCCTAAAAGGGCCGGCCCGACGGGCTCGGCCCGTTTTCCCGGCTCTAGGCGTCGTCCCTCTCGTCTCCCCTCCAAACGTCCACAGCCTCCATCCAAGGTCCTCCTCTGGTTCAGTTCATGACGGTGCCTCTGGTTTAATTGATTTTCTTAAGCTTCGGACCCTTAGATTTTTTTCCCATCTCGAATTATTGCCTACGCTCTGTCAGATGAAAAATCAGGGATGAATTCAGGAGAGGAAGCAAGAGAGAGCGAGAGTCCACGGCCGAAAAAGTTGAGGGGAAAGAGTTGACAAAGATGAGAGAGATGCCGGGCCAAGAGTTGACACTTGTACATCATGTGGAACTAAAAAAAAAGAAAAAGAAAATTAACGCTCGTTTTAACAATATTTTTGTACCGTTTAGAAAGGTTTACATATATTTTTTCTTGCAGCATTTTATTATGATGTGTTATTCCTTTTCGATATTACGGGTAAATCTGTCTTTTTACCTTTTAATAAATAAATTGAACTCATAAAAGATAAAATTTTAAAGCTGTACAACTTATTTTATTGTAAATTATACAATCATTACAAAAACAAATGCATTTCAAGTGAATTAATTAACTTATTGGGTCGCTTAATTTCAAAACAAATTGTTGTGAAATGTATAAGCCCACTCTCATGCATTATGCCGTGCGAGATAAGGGATAATTATTTTTTTTTAAAAAAATCTCGTTTTTAGATGATCTTCGGTATACATAGAACATACATTGATCTCAGACGGATTTTTCTTTTTTCAAACCAACCTGATATATTTAGGATATTTCCCAGAAAAACCTTTGTTTCACTTTTTTAGTTTGTGCTGAGTTATCATTCAAAAGTCAAAGATAAAGGAATGTAACCACAAACCATAAAAATCATAGTTCAATGAGAGTCTACAACAGAGAAGCAGGCCAAATTCTTTAGTCTTGTGCTACCAAGAATACATGAACTTATTGTTGAAAACAACTAAATGGCATCAGAATAATGTGAAGCACATCATCAAAAGACTGACTGCTTCTTACTCGTTGGAAGGTGCATCCTCTGATGGAACACTTCCTCCTTCTATAAAAGGCAGAACCCATATCAGAATTTTGTTCACTTCCCTGAAGAAGCTAAAAAGAAGAAGAAACAATAACATTCCACAGAGAAAAGCAAACGGATTCAGAAAAGGCATACCTTCTCCTGAAGGAGCACAAAATGACTTCCTGTAACGTGTTTGCTGTTGTGTTGGCTGAAAATGCAGAATTGCCAGACAAAAACTGGTCATTCACATTTTGAGGAAATGGCAGTAAAATTTATAAGTCTTTCATTAAGAAAGACATCATACCACCACGATCCAATACCTCAGATTTTATGCACTTGTGCTTCGGGTGAAACTTTAGATACTGTTCAGATGTTTCTACCAAGTTTTCTAATACAAATACAATACAATGTAAAAAATTTATCACTTTGCACATGATTGGATCTTCTAAAAAAAATTTCTCCACATATTACGTATTTACTTAAAAAATCAGGCAACAAACACCTAAAAACTTCACCTAAATTTTGCCATTATATTATTTGACATACTTAGTAGTTAATAATGCTGAAGAAGGAGCCACTGGGCCAGAAAGTTGGCTGTATATCAAGGGCTGCTGCTGGTAAAACGAAAGTACCCATAACTACATAGTTGAATAAAGATTTAATTCCGACGTACATGTTTCCATTATTCTGGATATTAAAACTAGTAAAACGAAGAGCATACTCCACATTAATTTGATAACTGCCACAAACACTACAAATGGTAACTCATAGCCTTATATACGATTACTTCGTAGTTGATCTGATGGTAGGCTGTGAGCCCAATTGCTCTGAGGTACATTTAATTTCTTTCTCTCACACACACAACTGGTTTGGAGTGGTTGGAATCCGCCTTTTCACAAATAACAAGGTTAAGCAAGCAAAAAAAACTTTATATCACTAATGATACTGCAAATAACATTTTAACAGCATAGATATTTCAACAATGTCAAAGACGACCCAATCGCTGAATAGCATGCCAATTGCAACACAGAAGAACAGAGTGACAATAAAAAGAGAAGCAATTGTTATCAAGCTTCAAAAAGCAGAAAGACTTCCATACAATCATGCAATAATATTTGATTAAATACCTGTAATTTAGGCCGCAAAGCCTCCAGCGGTCCCTTGGGTTTTTCACCTCCTTGCTGTTTCAAGGTATATCAGAGTGTAAGAAAAATCAATATATGGATATCCAGCCACAATGCAATCACACTTAGAGATTTCCTTCCAGAAATACCTTTCCAAGTGCCCAATCAGCGGAATCAAAATAGGCACGTTCATGGTCCTGGAGTCAAAAAAAACAAAAAATGTTAAGCCAAAAGAACGAGAACACACATCATCAGATATAACAGAATAATTTAAATATGATAAAGTTAAAAGAACATGTACATAAGAACACCAATTACACATCTACCTTAGATATAAGCGGTTGCTTTTTAGGAAGTAATCCTCCATATTTTTTCTTTATAACTTCCTCCTACAAGATTCAGGAACTCAATAAGCCAAAGTAATGTTATCAAAATCCTTGACATAAAAAGGTCGTCCCAGCTTCACTGAAACATGCAAAAATACAATTTCTTTAGAACAACCTGCTCCTTTGTTGATGGCATGGATTCATTAGATGTGTTTACATCCATCTGTCCTTGTTCTTTGTTATCCTCCACACTAGACATAGGATCTTTTTGCAAGTTGTGGCTGCAATAACGTCCAAAAGTGTAAAACGCCACAATTGTGAACAAGAGTCTGACATCAATTACAACTAGAAATTCTTTCAAAGTTCAAAATCATCAGCAAATGCTACTATTTATTCATATATGTTCCCTTGTGAAGAGGAATTTGATCAACTGTTTTTATAAATGCAAAGCACCATCATGCTCTTTATAGAAAGAGTCTGGACAAAAGATACCGGCAAGGGCTAACAAACAAGCATGGGCAGCTCCCAATCCAAATCAACTAGGATGCTTAGATTGTGCTAATGCTCTTCAAACAGATATGTGACAGAACATAGATAAATAGACAGACAGCTCAGTAAACTACATTGATAAATAGACAGACAGATCAGTAAACTACAATAACAAATGACAGTAAATCGTTTCAGAATGGATCCAAAAAAAAAAATCCAAAATGTTCCACACTTCCACTAGAGAGACCTTAGGCAACAAAATATACAAGAATCAATTAAAATGTCAGAAAATATCACATATAAACAAAAAGAAAACAAATATTCTGGTCTCACTGGCAGTTTGACAGACTAGAAAACAAGCATCCACTTCAAACGAATATTATTCAAACCTCACCCAGGTGCCAAATGATAAAGAGGTTCAGACCAGCTGTGGTAAAGAACTTCTGTATATTGGCTCAAACAACACCCCGCCTCCCTATTCCCATTCTATTCATAAACTTCAACTGAGGGGGACAAATCCATATTTCTAAACGTTTTGCCCACACTTACATCAACTGGAAAGAAGTGCTTTAAAAAATCATAGACGGTCATGTACACATGGCATAGAAAAAATAAGAAATATTTTTTTTAATAAGTTCACAAAGAAACTCTAACAATAGCTTATCATTAGCAAAGAAAACATTTTCCTGTGTTTGACTAAACTTTTCAGCATAATAATGATAGCTTATCCTTGACAAACTGCAAATAAAAAAACTCAGCAACACCACGCCTCACAAAAATGAACAGCCCTTCTTCAAGGAGCTTTTAGCAGCTAAAATTAATTGTCTTCCAAGAAGTTAAAATATAAACGGGCAACAATCCAAAATAGCATAATTGTTTAATCATTACAAAGCTGAAAAGCCCAACGAGCATCACCCCAACCAAATCAGCTAATATACCAGTATTTTGCACATAAAAACACGTACGAATGCTTTTCAATTCGACGACCCCATTAAAAGTCTAAGCTATTGAAAATAAAACGTCAAATTAATATGTTCTTGACGAATATAAGATTGATCATGGGGCGAAACAAAAGCATCAAAGGAGCGATAGCAGGAAAAATAATTAAATCAGTTGAAGATCAATCATCACGAGATGAAGAAACTAAAACGGAAATAACAGATCCAAGCTTGAAGAACTCACTGCAGCAGTGGGGGCACAACCGTGATCAGCGGAGCACCGAACGATGGGCAATGGGCCGTTGTTCACGTCTCTGTCCTCTTCCCAGCTCTTGCTTCTCTTCCTTGTCGACGAACCTATTCAATTTCAGATTTTCTTTCACTTCTTTATTATATAAGATAGAATCCAAGATCTTGATTTTAGCCTTTTCATTTTAATTATTATAGTATTGCAGGGACCCTTTTTGGATTATGTTTTCAAAATGCTACCCTCTGACATTTTTTTTTACCTCTAGATCTGGAGAGTCTCAAAATGAAAATAATTTCAAGGTAAAAAAAAATGAAAATAATTTTATATTTGTATGCTTCTTTCGGTAAGTGTATATCTATGTACATTTATAATTAATATTTAATTATTTTTATTAGATTTTTTTAATTTTATTTCTTACATACTTAACATATGTACTCCTCCGGTCCTTAATATAGGACCCAATTGTTAATTTAGTTTTGATCCTAAATATAAGACTTATTTCTCATATTTGTCAATTTTCTCTAAATTACCCCTATGGATACTCCCTCAACCATAATCAAGTAGAATAGGGAGAGGAGGTATTAAAAAAAGATGATTCTGGTATTTTAGGAAAAATGTGTCACATTTTTTATAATTAACTAACTTACCTAACTTCCTTAATCTAATCAAATTAATTAAATGGGTCTTATATTAAGGATCGGAGGAGTATCTTTTTTGTTTGCACTTCTTGCAAGTTGCAACTTTTTTTAAAAAAAAAACCAGCATTGCAAGTTGCAACTTACAAGTTGCAACCTCTAAAAAGATATGCTGATTGCTGATTTTCCCTCTGTCGGATCATACTCATTTTTTCTAATCTGTATAAAACTTTGAAACGATTATATAAATTTCAGAATAATAAGATTATAATTAAATCGAACTCTTTTCCACTAGCCTCGTACTTAACAGGTTTGAGATCAGCTATACTATTTTACAGCATTAATAACATTTTTTTATAAATTTAACATGCTCTTCTAATTTTTAACATAAGATCTAATTTAAAAATTGATACTAGTCTTATACATAATATATATTTAACATATTTTTCAAATTTATTTAAAAATTGATACTAGTCTTATACATAATATATATTTAACATATTTTTCAAATTTTTAAATTAACCCTATTAATATTTTCTTAACAATAATCAAATAAAAAAAGCAAAAAAAATTTTAAAAAAATGATTAGAATGTTTCGAAAAACACGTATCATATTAACCAATTTAATTAACATCTTTAATTTACTCATTAACTAGGTCATACAAGCCACAAGGATCGTATATCTATAATGGTCAAAAATAACACGCCTCGGTCATTAGAGGTTAAAATGTTTTGTAAAGATTTAAAAAAATGTCATCTTCCATGGATAGGTAAACGAGTAAATTAACGGCAAAAGTGGGGTCAAAATTTAAAACTGTTATCCCCGTTTTAACTTGGTCTGCCAACATTCCTGATCAGCTAACGATAACCACGATAATAGATAGACATAAGTAGCTACTTCAATAAACAAATTGAAGTGTAGGACATTAAATGGAAGCTGATAATCGAAGTCAGATAGCAAGTGAGATTTTTATTAGCTAGTAATTTACAAAAAGGACACAAAGTAGCCCCCACAAAACCAGCTTATGCTCTTTGGTATTCTGAACCTAGGGATGCAAAGAAGCTTTGCGTATTTTAATGCCTTGCATTACAAGGATAAGAGAAATAGTTAGATCTTCTTGTCAGCCATGAAGCGCATAGGCCTGCCTTACCACCACTCTCAGCAACATTGATTAAATCTGCAAGCTCATCATCATCATCCCAGTATGCTTTAATTTCAGAAACCCATCTCCTGATTCAACAGGATGTTTGCTTCATCAATCCCCTGGAGATGGCCAGTGAACTAAATAATAATTGCATCTAGGGATTTCAGCATGATGTTCTTCGCCACTGCTTCTTCCCTTTCTTCTGAGGCAATTTGAAGGGACTCCAGCTCTTTCTGCGTTTGGAGGTCTCACAGAAGAAGCCAGAGGCAAGAGCCTGCTGAAGCCACAGCTCAAACGCCTCTTCATCTTCGTCAAGCATCATTTCAGCATCCAAATCCCATGGATATCGACCAGAGTTACACCGCGGGCTTTTCTCCAGGCCAACCATGTTCACATGGAAGCTCGGTCGATGGGTGTTTGGCCTACAAGCCATTCCCTGCATGAAAAAAAGGACAAGCCACCCTTTATGTTCAAGATTCCTTTGCAACAATTGAACTAACCCTTGTGAGAGGATTGCGAAAGAAAGCAACGGGCGCACATATTGTCTCAATCAAAGGTTTTACCAAGAATTCCGGAGTCTGGACTAATCAGGGAATCCCAGACAGGTTCCTAAGAGTCATTCTTTACAGGATAAAATGATAACCAAATAACTTAGATGTCGCATGAATGTGACCCAGTCAATTGCAAGGGGTATATATACTGAAAGCCAGTGTAATGCATCCGTGTAGAAAATATTTACCTTTCTTTTCTTTTTTTCTTTGTTTTTTTGTTTTTTTGGCATTGTGTAAATAGCCAAGGAGTTTTATCCGAGGAAAAGGATAAAATATTGCAAAGAAATAAGTAGAACTAGAACACTGCTGACAAGCGCTACGTATTGTACATGTGACAGTAGCATCTTAACACATCATCATTTCCGTTTTACCAGGTGTGACTCTGATGTGCACCTCCTAGAAGAGGCAGATATTTATGAAAGAAGTGAATTCCGATGAAACGATTTTGATCTGCACTTGGTCACGTCTAGTAGAGAAGATGAGAGATAAAATGCCTATAAAAATTCTTTAATTTTAACTATTAATATTTGATATAGATAAACTTACAAGAGCAGCTGTAAATGGAAGTCACACGATTTTCGCTCCACCCCTTACCATTAAAGCATGCAATGATTCTGACTCATTTGCAATACTTCACATCTTAATCCCTACCCAAGCAAACCCTGCAAGTGCACATTAACATGGTCTACCTTTGCTGTTCCTAGATATCCTTTTCAATTCTCTATTTTTAAATTTCAGAAGAATAGAATCAGGTAAAAGTGAATTATAATATGTAGACCAATAAAGTAGGCATGTAGAAGAGACAACTGACCTGACAAATGGCCCATTCTGACACATCAAAGATCTTGCTCTCCGCACAAACAAAAGCACGTGGAATCTCCATCTATAAAGAAAAGAAACTACAGTCAGCAATATGCCATGTGAATTAAAGAAAATGAAGCAGAGACCAATATTTGCCATGAAGGAATTACCTTTTGAGCCCTCTCAAAAACCAGAGAACCTTTGTACTCAACCCATCCATCTCCATCCTTGGCTTGATGATACTGACAACAGTCCTGCTCCCAAAGTGGATGTAATCAATTTTCAATTAATAAACATAGAGCAACCAAGCACAAGAAAGATCGGGAGAGAATTAATTCAATAATCAATAAATAGAACGTAGTAAAAAGAAATCTAACCTGACACCATCTTGCCTTGGACTTAATTCTATTAGTGCATACCCATATATGTGAATTGCCACACTTGGTGCACTGTATACGCCTGGATTCTTCAGAGCGATAATCAGAATTGTCCTGCAAGGATTACCAGCAGAATCACTACCTTACTAGCAAAGGTCCTCAGCAACCTACGGAATCATGAGAAAAAGATGGCTTTGCTAATCAAACTACCAAACTACAGCTTAGCTTTACTCTGCATTTTTGCAGGAGGCTGTTTCCGCAATGAGTCTTACCCACTATACCAGCATATTTTTCTTCCCAATGGAGTGAATTCAACAAAGGGTCAGCAATCCATGGTTCCTGAGTAACCGTGTCCATGCCAACTCTACCTAGGTAATTATTATTGTTATTCTTCCCTACTCTAACATATCACAAACTCCATCAACATTTAGAGGGTGTTTGGATTAGTTTTTTAGAAGTGATTAAGAGTCTTGTCTCGGTTTGCATGAAAACACTTTTTTAAAGTGCTTTTAAGGGTTACCAAACACCCCTTTAGTCTTAGTTATTGGAATCAGTCCGGGGATAGGCCCAGTGTGGTTGATCTATTGGGTCACATAATAAATATGTTGAACCAGCCATTATAGCTAACACACACACACACACACACTCTAAACAAGTAGATACACAAGACCCATGCCTATAGAGTTAAGGAAACAAAGCAAAACTCCCTTCATTTCAAAAAATCAAACTAGAATAACCACAATATTTGCCTGGCAAAAATACCAAAAACTAAGAGTATGTCAAAATCAAGTATAAGGAAACCATCATATTTACCTGACGTGAAGCACCATAGGATTTCTGGCAGACACTTTTAGCCCTGAATTCCTCTTTCCTCAATTGCTCATCATAGTCTCTCTTCTTTGTGGCATCAGAAAGAACCTGAACATTCCAAATATTTAGTGAATGCTAAAAAGCCACTGCCAGAATATCATTTATGCTTATCTTTCAACTCCAAGAGAAGATTGCAGAGTGAAGCCCGTGCTTAAATTAAAAGTCTACCTCATATGCACATTGAAGCTTCTTAAAAGAATCACTTGCCAGTGAACTGCCCATATTCTTATCAGGATGAACAAGCATTGCCTACATCAGTAAATTTAACTAAATTTAAGTACAGTTCATTCCGTATAAAACATCAGAGCATGAATAGGCAAGCAAACACAACATGGCTCAGGTCAATGAAACCCCGCAGCATCATCATCTGGCACTAGTTAAGCAAGATTACTTCAGCATTAACGAACAACACAGGAGTGCAGGAGAGAAGTAAAATTAGGATTATTTTCACCTCAACAAAATAGATAAATAAGAAACACAAACCTTTTTCCGGTATTCCTTTTTCAAAATCGCTGCATCAACTTTCTTGTGACGGGGAAATCCAAGCGCATCATAATGATCCAGACTATTTAATATTCTCCTCATTTCATCAACAGAATCAGTTTGTACTTTCACCACTTTGCTAGCAGAAAACTCTTTCTGGTTTTCAACAACTGAAGTGGTAACAGCCGGTTTGCTGGATGATTTACATGAATGTGAATTTTCGGATTCAGCAGTAGGAATGGAATATTCACACTCTTCAGTAAAG